AAGAGTTGCACCCGTGCGCATATCTTCATTATTTTGGTCAAGTGAATGATGGGTTCAGACGGAAAGATGGGTCTGATGCATCCGCACGATGACTCCCCTCGAGCTGCTCACCTCTCTTGGCCCATGGGGGATTTTGTCATCACAACAAACATCAGTTTTTGAATGAGATGCGTTGTCTATATTAAGAAGTCATTGGGTGTTACCTTTTTTTTATCAAATGAAAATATGGTCTACGTTTAGGTATTTGAAGAAAGTTAAGTAATATATTTGCACATAAATTTTCATAAAATTACAAATCGGCCTCATCACTTAGCATCACTATCATCTTCATCACTATCATCTTCATCACTATCTCCGTCGACAAAATCGGGTGGATACAAATTTTAAAACTACACATTTCTGTCTAAGTCAGCGAGTGGAGCAGAACTTACTGCCTTGCAGAAACTTGGTACCAGTGAATTAGTACCTACCTGATGATGTTTTGTATCAGCTGGAAATATTTTTTTTTGACGGGTTTATAAAGCAAGCACTACAACAAAATCACTTGCTCAAACACATAACTCAAACACTAGAAAAATGGTTATGTAAAAACGTTATAACCAAACGCTTATAGATAAAAGATATTATGTAAAAGGAAATAACAGTATACACTAACAAATAACAAGTTTCACGGCTACTGCGTCTTCCACAACCAACCAGTATAGATGTCATAGGCATATTGTCTTATTTGGTATAGTTTAAAGATTAAAAAAATATATTTTATCGCCAACCGTCAGTAAAGCTATACATTACCATAGCGATTTCCGGAAGTAAAGGAACACTTTATTCCACTGATTTTACCTGCCGCATATGCGGCAGATAAAGTATTTTACCTGCCGCAAATATTTTTGCAGTGTCCTATTGAGGAATATGTGCTTAATAGAACAAAAATCGCGGAGACGGTTTTAGGCTACAGTCAAATCAAATTGACACCATAGCAGTTACCAATGATAATTTGGACATATTGAAACTCCTTGACTTCAAGAACTTATTGATGTCATCCGACAGGGTATATAACAATAAGTAGATGTGTTCTGTGCTTGTTCTTGTAATAAAATGTGTCGAGTTATAATAGCTTAATTTTTTACAGGTAACAATTTTTACGGTTGGCGATAAAGTTTTGTATGCACCATGTCAGTAAAGTGTCTTTATCGAACTCGTCCTTTTACTGGCCTCGCTCGCTTCGCTCGCTCGACTCATAATCTCAGACTCGTTCGATAAAGTATCACTTTACTGCCTTGGAACATAAATAACTATTAACACAATTAAACTCATTGAACTGCGATAACAAAAATTCACAATACATAAATAAACCCTCTCTAAACATGCTTTGCAATCTTGATATTCAATATAATATTCCATAAAAAAAAACGTTCTCAAACTGATAAAAAAAATTCACAGAAAATACACAGTCTCTTATGGACGTCAAGTTTGTTATGCCCACGGTGTCATCTTGAATATTAAAAAATTGACAGCAAGGCAAACATCAAATCGCCTAATTTTGTTAGCCTTCTGTCAGGTCCTGCAACGATGCTGTTGACTGTGTATTATTGCTACTGGTGTGTTGCTAGGACTGTGGTGGAAAAATATTTCTGGTCCTGGTGCTAATGCAGCATCATCGTTATAATTGGAATTTTCTCCATGACTCACTTAAATTGTTTGAGTGGGTAATTCCTTGTCATATGTAAATTTGGGTAAATAGGCCAATTGGATTTCGGTATAATAATAAATAAAGTAAGTAAAAGCAAATTAAAGATGTTAAGTCAGTTCCGCCAATAAGGTATGATATTACATTCTGCTACATTATTTGCTGATAGAGGCGCCATAAAGCGAGGTTATGGTATGCGGACGAGGTGATCTATCCAGCGAAGTTGATGCTAAATGATGCAAAGAACTACGCTAAAACATTAATGTGCGTTCGTCAGTCCTGCTATTCAATCCGTAGGATCCTTCTGAGGTAGCGCTTGTAGTATAACATACCCAAGTTCGTTCAGCAAGATTGAATGGTGTGACTTTTTTATTACCTTTCAAATAACAAATCTTCTGAAAAACTAAATGAAAAACAAATAGACCTACGTTGTGGAAACTTACTCAATTTTACTTACTGGACATGCGCCCGACATAGCAAATATTTGGAAAATTCAAGGGAAGCTGTAAACGAAAAATTTGGGAAACGTCTTCTTTATTATCAGAAGAAAAATGTACCGTTCTCGACCTGGAATTATTGAGGGGAAAGAGAACGGCAGAGAAACACTAGGTCGAACATTCCTCAAAAATCGAAACATACTGTGTCAGTTTAATAATAATTGTGAGTCATTCATTCAATAATTTAAGTCAATGATAGTTTAAATTAGGTACGGTCTTTGTCCTTGTGCTAAAATTTTAATTCCACACACCACATTCAACCAACACAACCTTTATTCAATACTGAAGAGTTTTTGTTAGTTAGCCAGTTTCACCAGCAGGTACTGAGGTCCCATACGGGATGCTACCCAGCTATAGTTGTTATTTTGAGCCAATATCTCCTTCCTTTGTTTGGCAGGATATTCGCTCGTCAGGGTAGGAAAATGTTAGTAAATTCAACAAGGCCCGAACGCACGCTCAGAATCCACAAAATCAAAATCCCAGTACAAAAAGACAGCACATAGTTTCTCTAGGTTTTAATTCACTCTTTATAGGTGTTGTTTACAGCATGAAACGATTTTTGTTAAATACATGAACAATGCACATGTTATAAAAAATGTTATAAACAAAAAAACATAAAAATGTAAAAATGATATGTACTTGTATAAATAATTGAACTCTCAAAAACAAACTAACAATTATTCCACTGACCTGTGGATGCTCCTTTTGACACACAAACTAATCACAAATTGAATTGAACAATCAGTTTAATACAAAATGAAAATAAAAATTGAATATTAAACAATGGCGGACAAACGTCTTAAGGGACCAGCCCAGAGCCCCGCTTCTTCTCTAGTCCAGTCGCTTCTTTCTTCTGTCTACCGTTCGCAGTACCGTTCCTTGTGGCTCGAACGCGTTCACCCCTAAACTTGACGGCGCATACATGGTTGCATCATTTACTTTTATTCAGTAAACGCTTTTTTTTTTTTTTAAGTTAAGATTCAAAGAGATAATATTTTAAATAGGTGGTTTTCCTCACGCTGGTGGTATTTTTCTAGGCTTTTTACGTGTCTTCTGTAGGTGGTCCATGTTTCGCAACCATATGTAAATGTTGGTATCACAATTGCATTGTAGACGCGAAGTTTGGTGTCAGCGCTGATGTGATTGTTGAAGACTCTCTCTAGAATTCGCCCGAACGCCGCGCTAGCACCCTTCAAGCGATGTTGGATTTGAGCGTCAAGTTCCATTTTTCCACAACAAATTATTAAAACAATTCCTAAAACTACCAAATTTAACTTTAGCTATTGCTTTTGTAAACATAGCAGCTAATTGTTGTTCAGTCGGAATATACTATCACGAATTCCGGGAACACCGAAAACTCACCTTGCCAACAATTATGTTCACTCACCTGACCAACAATAACAACCTCCACCGAACAAGCTGTCTAGAAACTACCAGAAAAACTGACTACAAACTTAACCCATATCATAGCTTTCCACCCAAGTATACACAACAAATCCCCCACTCCAACTGGGTTTATCTTTATTACGAACAACGCAGTTTTTAGTTATTCAATAGGAAAGTCCCAAGAATCATGTGAACATGTTTGCTTCTATAAATATCACAATGAGTCAATGAAATTCCCGAATAGCCGCGCTCGTTATAAATGTTAACAACCTCGGGTCCAAGACTGGCGGCAAAGCACCAATGCTTCTCCATAAGACTGCCTCCCTCTCAAATCAGACATCTATATTTCCAGTCAGATCCTTAATGGTGCCGTCTATCATCCCAATATATTTGGCAATATCCTCCCGATCTATGTTCTTGGTCGTATTTGTAACTAACGGATTTTCAAAAAAAAAAAAAAAACAATCAAAGATTGCTATGGTTTTTTAAACATAGGTGTCTAGTCAAAAATCCTGACCAATAAAGAAACAATAATGCTACGTACGTTTAAAAAACCATAGCAATCTTTGGATTGTCTTTTTTTTAAGACCTGATATTTTTGTAATTCCATCTCTCCAGATGCCTGACAAGTTTCTGTATGCCTGTCAAGTAAACTCCATCTAGAATGCCTCCACCTCCACCTTCTGTATCAGCAGTTCTTGTATTCGATTTCAGGGAGGGTTTGTTCCGTTTCCATTTTGTTTGGCCCGTTCTTGATCCGCTTTAAATCGAAGACTTTTAACAGGATTTTTTTTACACACAATAACTTTTTTTAGGACTAGTTCCTGGATTCCTATATAAGATGATAGCAGTATATCACTTGCACTAGTACTTGCGTCATGCTTACTTTCTGACCTCGTCTCTTTCATAAGTAACTAATTGCCCACAAAATCCAGCATGCAAATAATACAGTTTCATAAAATTCTGGCTTTGAGGATACAATTTCACTTTGTTTCAATAGTCAAGCAGCTGCTTCTTGTTTACGGACCTATTGCTTTTATAGCCCGGCCGCCAAATGAGAAAATGGGCTTCGACCTTTAGTTAAGGGACAACTAATATTTTAAGATTGATTTTAGTACTATTGACAAATCGAACCATAATATGAGTGGCACTTATGGGCAACTTGAAATATTGAAGGTCCAAGTTCACGGGGTCCAAAAAACAGAACTCACCCATTTTATTACGAATGAAAGGGAGTCGGTTAACCAAAATGAAATATTTGTAGTTCAAGGAATGTTTAATATGTGATGTAGTATAACGTATACTATACTTTTGAAACACTGAAAACTATAAGATAGCTATTGTTGTGATATAGGTAAAAAAAGCAATAGCTGGATAGAAAGTATGTAGTTTTATTTAAGTTTAATCACAGAATATTAACAGAATGCATATCAGATAACAGAATATTCAGAGTCGGAAGTAGACATTTTACTGTCACTGCCATTAAGCTGAGCTTCGCGAGTTCTCAAGTTGCCACACAATTGGCCGCCTTCGCACTCGCAAAATTCTTTACAAGGCAGACCTACATGTGCACAACTGCACCTTGAGGTTGAACATGGCATCTCACTTGAACAGCTGCATCTTAAACTTTTGAGCAATTCTGGTGGTGCCAACCCTTTGTTACTTGGAAGTTGTATGGGTACCAAAGAGTGTGTTGCTTCATTCTTTGCAAATCCATAGTCAGTTGGATTCAAGGATGGAGGGAACGGAGATGCTGCTGCGTTCCAAATACAAGCTTGCAAATGGCATCGTTTTATATGTAAGTCAAATGCCTTTGTTGTGGGGGGAAGTTTCTTAATTTTAGGAGAATTTTTTTTAGATAAACACACTGTGTATCGAACATCAGACATGTTGTGAACTTCCTTCTTGTAGCCGTAGCAATATGGAATAAAGCATGTACACTCTGCTATACATTGTTGCATTGAAGATTATACACGACCTGAATGTTTAATTTCAATACCAGATCTCAGAACTTGTACAGCTTTAGACTTTGCAATTCCAAAAAATTGCTATCACAGCCAGTGAGACAATGCACTGCTACTGCAAATTATAAACTGTTGCTGCTATATCTGAGAACTTGATCTTGTCAACAGACTCCATCCACATAGCGCATTTAAGATTTAGCTTTTTGTATAAAAGTGTACAAGCAGAACAAAAACGTCGGTGTCATCAGATAGAATCTTGATATTGTTCGTTGCACACCTTGACAGACTAATAGCCTGCTGTACAATTATAACCTCTGCTTCTTCATGGTGAGTTTCTAAATCCGAGCGAGGAATTACAACGCCAGGAGTTCAACTGGGATTGTATCAGTACCAGTAATGACCAACTTGTGTGGAAGAAACTAACTATGTTGTAGTAGTTGATTACAAATTATGGTTGTTAGTTGTATTTTATTGCATGAATGGGTCAATATACTGTCGTGACTTGGAAGAAGTATGTCTGCTCTTAGTTGCATGGAAGTTCTGTTAACTCCACTTCTTGACCGAGTTGCACTCTTTGGACTGTACTCGAAGTACCTATCAAATACAAGAAATGTGTCCTGTTCTTCAATGTGCTTCATGATCACTGCAATCACATTGTCAATACAAGTTTGTATTGTGCCAACTATATTTCAAGTTGCCCAAAAGTGCCACTCTGGCACCCCTCATGTTATGAATCAGTGCATAAAATCAATAATAAAACTTTAGTTGTACCTTACTTCAAGGTCACATGGCACGACGGCCCGACTAATATTTCGTCAAGGGAGCATTAAGAGTTGTCTTCCCTGTCAGTTTCAAACTTCTCCAACTTTTCCTTTACTGGATATTTCCCTTTTTTCCAGGTACTGCATAAGGCTTTGGTAATCCCTTTCGTAGTCTTCTTATCTTCCAGCATATTTTATGACAAACACTGTACAATCAAGTTTCTTGCCTTAATATTTTCCCTCGGTCCAGGGCACGGACTTTGCAGAAAATCACTTCTGCCTATTCCAACGCCAACATAACCCTAAACTCCTGAATAAAGAATCCCATTTTATAAAAAGATCGGGACTAAAATAGGTTGCTCCAGGCTAGCCATTTTTCTCTTAGAAGAAATTACCACACGAGCGATGCCACAAATGTTCGAGGCCTTGTGAGTCACATATTCCACATCTGTTCAGTTACCGACGATGCTTACTCACACCTTGGGCCCCTAACCTATTGTTATATGTAAATTGGAGTAAGCAAACTGAGGACTCCAGGCCAATTCGGCCATTTAGATCCTACGTAGGCGACAAAAGCCATAACGTCGGCAATCAAACGTTGACATTATTACCTGTTAACAAAATTTAGTTCCGCAAGGAATTGCTCAGCACATGAAACTTGCACCAAAGTAATTGTCTGCAGTTCTGTCTGAATAGTTCCATGCTCAAATTCTCGGGTTACATTGTGAAATGTGAAAACACCCGGCACCCCTCTTCGAGGTTTTTGGTTGTCTGTCAGTGAATGAAATTTTGATATGTGGTAAACCTATAACTTCCTGATAAAAAGTTCTCTAAGGCCCATCCCTGAGAAAAGATAAATCCGTGTAGGTATTCGCCATCTTTTACTTCCAGGTATGATGTGATCATGGTGGGCCGTGATTGAACTCTACCATGTACCACCTGTTGAGATGATTAGGCTTCGCATACTTTCATCAGTTAAGCAAACCAAAGGATTATAAAAAAATCAACATAGTGGCAATGGTTGTGTGATTCAACCTACGTTTATCGTTTTCTTTTTCTGTTTGTTTGGCTCTAAATTGCGGTTTTCGAATGGTCTAAAGTAATTACTTTTCAGAAAATGCCTGCGATATTATATTGCAGTTGGTTGTGGAAGCCATTCTTATAGTGATAAAGTTTCATTTAATATCATTCCTGCAGAGACAAAACAATTTTTATCAGTTCTTCCATTTTGCTCTGCTGTCATATCAAAAAATCTTCAAAAACCGCAAGCCTAGAAAAACAATAGATTTAATTTATTTCTACCTTCTTGTATTGGGTTTTTGGTTCATTTTGAAAAAAGATAAACCAGCCTCGTACTGAGCTGAAAAGGGGAAACATTTCTTGCCCATAAATTATATCGCTTTTATTTTTATTACTTCGAGAAACCTATGTCTACTGTCAACTGACCCTTTTAACTTATAAAGTAAATCTTCTTTAAGGTATCGTCAGTTTCATCCAATAAATAAAGCTAAAGTTTTTCTGGGATTGTTTACAATCTAGGAGAATCCCGAGAGCTTGGCAAAATAATTTTTTCTTCTTTCGTGGATGTTGCTTTGTTGAAATGGATTTTAATTTTTATCGATTTTAAAACAATATAATGGAAACTCTTACCTTTCGCAGATCTTCATACTATAGATATACAGGGTGTCCCAGGGAAAACAGTCCAGCAAGGCTTACGGCTTCGGACGAAAAAATTAAAAAAAAAACTCGGACCCGTAAAATTTTGTTTTCAGGGGGACACATTTTATTGGTATTTTCACCCCTCACTTGTCAACCTCTAAGCCGGAGTGATAGGTTTCAAATGAAGAGGGGGGTCGAGTGATACGTCATTCGATAGTTATTGTCATTAAGATTATATCCCCGAAGTTTTAAGTTGCTACTATTTACCCTGCCGAAATGGCGGCTTGTCAAAGTTAAAAAAAATTCTGTGTGGTTTTTACCTATTACTTCAGCATAGGTGTGACAGGTAAAAACTATACAGTTTAGATAATCGACAAAAAGCATTTAGCCTAACTTTGACATGCCACCATTTCGACAGGGTAAATAGTAGCAACTTAAAATTTCGGTAAAATAATCCTAATGAAAATAACTGTCGAGTGACGTATCACTTGACCCCCTCTTCATTTGAAATTTTTGGGGTATCTACCTATCACCCCGGCTTAGGGGTTGACTTCAAGTGAGGGGTGAAAATACCAATAAAATGTGTCCCTCTGAAAACAGAATGTTACGGGTCCGAGGGTTTTTTTTACTTTTCGTCCAAAGCCGTAAACCTTGATGGACTGTTTTCACTGGGACACCCTGTATAGCGTAATGCATTAATTAATTTTAAATTTGAATTAAAAAATATTTCAGAGGTATTCGACAATTTCTAATCCAAGCCTTCCTTTTCTGCAGGCGTCAAAATATAATTTTGTGAAATCTAGACACACTTTGCTTGAACTTTCTTTACAGCCCTTCTAGATGTTCGACTCGTTTCAATAGGGTTGGTATTAATTATTTCATGCTGTGATATGCTGAGTATCTAAGATAAGGGCGTTTACAAGAAATATGGAATGAATGAACATCAATATCGCCTAGTTTTATAAATTGTATTCGCATGACACTAACAAAATATCAAACTTCTCTAATGACCTAGAACTTACCCAAATATTTTACTCAAAGTTCTCGGAAACTAAATAACTAGTAACTACCCACACTTAAATTTCCCGTGTTTACGTAATATCAACTCGAAGTTTAGTACATTTGCATGCAAGACTCTACCGAGTTTTGCGACTTTAAATTCTATTCAGGCATTTGCCCAAGTTTCAGCACATTCTTCAAACGGAGCAACGAAAATATTTTATTTGCGACACAGAGTCTGCTTATTCTAATGTAAGTATTTATCGAGGTTTTTATGAAGTTCACAAAGAAATCTAATTGTACTGATTACGGATTGTGTTTGCCTTTGATTATTCTGGAAAATGGGGCTTTATTAATGTGTAGCATAAAGAACAATCAATATTCACCCTTTCAACTTCATACAGACTTTAATCTAAAACCGATAAATTAAGAACAAATATCTTCGAAGCAATTAAAACAAGTTTGAAAAAGGGGATCAGAAATGAATAACACCTTGCTTTAGGGAAGAGTTTAATGAAAATTCTGAGATGAAAAGGGAAATGGAATTTATAACACTTCATCTGAAATTTCAATTATTTTAATTTATGAGTTGAAATATCCAAAAATTGATTAATAATATAATATGAAAATTTACGAGGTAGGTAACCTTATCAGAAAGAACTTGTTTTTGTTAAATATCTAGGATGTTTTCCAAACAATGCGTCCAGTAATTTAGTTATAGAATCCTGTTTACATTATGATCACGCAATTTGGTTTGGCTGCATGTCTGTTCTATGTCTGTGTACAATATCCTAACTAATTGGCCTTGTTGCTAATTATATTATGGCTTGTAATATCAATCACTGATTTGCCCATTAACAGCAGGCAAGCTCATCAGTGATCTGTAACCAATAAACCTCAAATAAAACAAGCAACCGAACCGAGGACACATTTATGTTAAACTAGATATGCAAATTTCTGTTGCAAAATGAACAATTTTTGAATGTGCCATTTGAATCCATTTGATTTAAAGAACAAACTGCTTAGGAATATTACTTAGCGGTTCAGAGGCGAATAGTTTCATGGGTACATGAAAATATTTATAATGTCGTAAAGTCGATAGTAAATTATCTTTTCTCTTCGCACATCAATTTTCGCAAAATGGATACGTAGTTAAAGGAAATTTACCAGCATGCATGGTTGTCGAAAGCTTTTAATTGAAATGTGTTTAGAACTAGTTTCATGTTAAATAATAAACAGGCAGTAACCAAAACTTATTATTATGTTAACTGAAGTTTTCTTTAACTTGACAGGCAAGCAATAATTAATTTTAACTCCAAAAGTGGATATCGACGACATACTACCCTTCTAATCAGCTACCCAAAAATTTTGATTTTTTTGGCATGTCTCTGGAAACTGGCCTGCAGCGCTAATTGTATTTATATGTGTACCGTGAATATTGGATTTTTCCTACTACCTACTGAGAATATTATCATTTTTTTGGAGCGTATCGAAAAGTTTCTTCTTGAGAAAAAGTATTGGTTTTAATGGTAGTTGGTACAAATAAGTAGTACAGCTAATACAGCAGCAGCTCAAGCT